AAATAAAGAATGCACCATGACACCCAGTAGCCTGGTAGCCTTGTCCAGGCACAGGACCGTGGTTTAGCCTGTGCAGGATGCTCCCTGGCCTATACCTGATGCCAGCACTCAACAGTTTCCATAGTGACAACAGTGACAGTGACACTGGTAATATAATGGCAGGTGATACTCACTAAGTGTTTACCAGGCACTGGACACAGTTATTCATGCTTGACATGTATTATTCATTAACATAAAGTCTTTTCAAGGACGTCACTATGCAGGGTAGAGCTGCTCACTCATCTCACAAGTGAAGTTAGTTGTGCAGCTTCTAATCAGTCCCTGGCAGGTGGCACCAACTGACCTTGGCTATTCATGGTAAGTGACTCCCAACAGGTGGCAGCAGTTGACTTTGGATATTTCAGGGCAGGTGACCTAGGAAGCAAGTTCTAAAAGCCTGGGGTGAGAAATTCAGGCACCTGCCTTATTTGCGTGAATCCCTTGGTCTTCCCTGGTGGCAGCTGACTTTGCGGTGGGTGTACCTGCAGCTGTTAATGTTATTTATCATATTAAAAGGGACAGTGAGTTGCCACCATAGCTGCAAAGACCAGCTGTTGAGGTTGTAAGTGCAAGACTTCACATGTAGCATCCTGGGTGTGAGGCTATGCAAGTCCAGTGTGCTGCTGTGTGACAGTCATTGGAAAGGGATGGAGAAGTCCCTGTCACCACCCAGATCAGCATGGAGGAGCGCAGGTAGAGAAAGGATGCAGGGGGTATCTCAGTCAACGGGACCCTCTGCAGTGCCTTCCCATGACAGTGTGGGGTGGCTGAGCTTGGGCCCAGAGGGCAGCAGCAGAACCACAATAAACAGGGCTGCCTCACCCCACCCACTTAGGACTTCCTTGGGTGGAATCTTTGTCCCTGGCTGTCCTAGTTCAGGACACAGCTCCCACTGGAGCACATGACAGGCAGCTTGTGTCAGGGAGGAGAGCTCTACCCCACCCCCGCCACAGGAAGGAGGCTGGCGGATGCCCAGGGATGTTGGGATCCATGACTCGGGTGTGCAGGCAGAGGCAGTCTGGACTGAGGGAACACTGGGTCCATGGAGTGAGTGGAAGCCTCAGACTTGCAGTCAGCCACACCACAGCACATCCTCGAGAAAGACCAGTACAGGACAGCCATTTGATGGCCAGAGGACATGAGAAGGACGCCTGCTGTGGTTCAACATGGGTGTGCTTTGATCTCAGGTTAGTTACCAAAGCAGCATGTGGCTGTGTGGATGCATCTTCCTTATAATTACGTCCGTTCTTTTCTTCCTCTCTCTACTCCCTAACACTCCCAGCCCTAGAGTGGAGACAGAAATTCCACGTGGCTGCCCACTGTGCCCACTGTCTCAGTGGCTGACATCACTTATTCTAGACAGCATCCGGCAGCTCACTCCCCTCCTCCCTGCCTACTCTTGGGCCACGACGGCACTTAGTCTAGCACTGAGACCCCAGCACTTGGCTTGGCTCCTCCTTCCATCAGTTGCAGTTGAGCAGCTGCAACCCCTGAACTTACACAAATGCGATGCACTGGATATCGCCTTTTGGTCCCTTCTCTTTAGAGAGCTGCTTTAAGCCCAGAGCAGCCCTTGTGGCTTTGGCTAGACTGACATCTTCCTGTCCCAGTTCTGTAATCTGGGCTGAGCCCAAATTTCCTGCTTCAGGGCCAGCGAGGCAGACTGACTGGATTGAGTCCCACATCTCTGGCCAGTACTGTTTGGAAGGGCCTGGGCTCCTCCGAGGCCCAGCTTTCTCAGGGTGGAGAGGTTGGAGACTGAACGTTCGGCCCTAGTCATAGCAGCTTGTCCAGGGAGGCACAGGCGTGGCTGTTAGGGTCCCACTGCTAACTTCGATATCTTCAAAACATCCGTGCTCAGAATTGTTGCAGTGTCTTGCGGAATCCATGCTGTCCGTTGTGCCTGCTGTGCCAGGCAGGGGTCCATCGCTCAGGGTGCAGCCTCTGCCTTTGTGACCTGTCTGGTCTGCCCTGCGCTGGTGGTGTTCTGCACTGCTGTACGTCTTAGACCGAAGGTCTTCTGGTCATAGCTCCAGCAAGGGCTGGCATCTCTTCCCTTTCTCTTGGAACATGGGTGCCCTGAGATACCCAAGTAGCAATAATTGGCAGGAATGCTCCGTGGAAGGCTCACACTGTGCCCATGCACTGGTCCCTAGAGCTAGGTGATAGTTAGCTATTTCCTGCTGCCTTATTTATGCAACACTGTTTCATCTGACCTTCACTGTGACCCTGTGAGACCATCAGCCAGGGTAGGTCAACCTGTTTTACAGATCATGGGTGGGACCTTGCCTGAGGCCACTGTAGTTGGAGTGGTGCCAGGATTAGAGGGCTAGAGGGACTCAGGCAGATCACAGAGGAGTTTTAGGTCAGAAAAAGGATGCTGTAGGATGCTATGATGCGGGACACAGGTCATGGTATGAAGCATGCAGCCTGCAGGTTCTGGGTGGTGGAGAGGTCAGTGTGGACTTAGCGTTAACAGACTGGTAGGGGAGCATGGGGGTGGGGACGGGGCACAGGCAAGAGATGCCGAAGGGCCTTTGCGCCTTCTGCTCAGATTTGCTGTGAATCTAAAATGCCTCTTAAAAAATAAAGTCCATTTTTTAAAAAAAAACAAGTAAGAGGAAAGAGTTGTGGAAATATTTACAAAGGTAGTGGTTTGATCCCAGTAGACTTGTTTCCTTTCATCTCCATGCCTGTCATTATGATTTTAAAACATAAGCCTGTGTTATTTTATATTGGAAAGAAACAAAATAAACATTTTGAGAGTTCGAAAAGCTCCAGAACCACGCTGTACGTGTGTTTGTATATTTAAGCAATTCCAAGAGTTTCTAATCCCTTGCTTGCTCTTAGCGGTCAACGTTTTGTAAACCTGCATTCCTCTCAGCTTTTGGTGAATTTACACAGCTTCTCTGTACTCTGAAGCTAGGACCAGTTAGCATTTCTGTTCCCAAAGAAAATAAGCCATCCTTGGGGAGTCTCAGTGGGAACTGCATTCTTGGATTTTTTCCCACACTGTGTGATTCAGTCTTCCTTTATTTATTTTTAAATATAGAGGACTGTTATTAGAATAGCCTCTCTCTTATTAAGTATATGTATATATTCATTTACCTTTAATTATAAAGAGATCCAGAAATAATTTTCTCTGTCTTGTCGCACATCTGTTTAGGTTCTTGGAAACCATGAGTGTTAAATTCTTGTGACGATTACTAAAGTTCTTTTTCATGCATACATGAGCAAATTCTAACATGTTCTTATTTTGCCATATATTTATGCAAAGCAGGGCATTAGATGCAATGTCCAGCACCTGACTTTTTTACTCAGCTCTGTAGCTTTCCTCATTCATGCACAAACTCTTCTTTCTTTCCCAGCTAAGGGGACCCCACCTGCAGATTCTCCATGACTTGCTCAGCCAGTCCCCAGCTCATTAGCAGTCAGGCTATTTCTAATCTAATGCTATTATAAACAGTGTCGTAAGCAAACATAGTGGCCCACACAGGTAATCCCAGCACTCTGGGAGGCTGAGGCAGGAGAATCACAAGTTCAAGCCCAGCCTGGGCAACTTAATGACTTATGGAGAGCCTTGTCTCAAAATAAAAAAATACAAAGGGCTGGAGATGTAGCTCAGTATAAGGGCTCTGGGTTCAATATTCCATATTAAAATAAATAAATAATAAGAACAACCACAGAAAAAATAGCATAGAGACACTTAATCCTGTACCTTCTGCACACATCATTTCACACACGTGCACAGATATCAACACGGTGAAATTCTGTGAAAGGAAATGTCTGAGCCTCGGTGACGTTGACCGATGCCACTGAGTTGTTCTCCACAGATAAGGTTTGCCTCCCCAGCCCCACACTCTAGGTCACAGATCGCTGCATCTCAGATTTGATCTGACTTGTGAAGGAGGCAGCACAGTCCCTGTCAGCCCAGACTGCTCTCCCAGGAGGGAGTGTGAGCATGTTTCCACACGTAACAGAGCCTTTCCCTCGGGACGGAAGCCTCCTGTTGGTGCCTTTGTTCACTGGACACGCAATGGGCCATATTCTTGTGGACATCCAGAACATCTTCATGGGTCAGGGAGGGAGCCTTTCTGGCAATCACATCCACCTGACTGGAACAGTGCCTGAGGACAGGAGGTCCCAAGGGACCTCCCTGTGGGTCTTGGAGCCAGTGGGAAGACTTTGGGACAAGACTGATGCCACTGGAGGAGGTTTGTGGATGCATTGTGCCTAGAGGGCCAAGCACAGGGGTGGCTTGTGCGTTTGCTCTTCAGGAAGAGCACTGCTCAGAGCACCACTGGCATCCCTAAGCCTGAACCGCCTTCACTGTAATCGAAGGCTCGTCTCCACAACGCTGTGGATTAGCACGGATAACATGTGCAAAGACACTCAGGCTGCAGGGACTGGCTCCCTGGGGTGGCTGAGTGGGTAACACAACCTTCTTGGGATGAACTCACTTCCTCTGTGCAGCAGAAGATGCGTCAGCAAGCGCAGGGGACCCTGGGTGTCCCAGCATAACCCTCAGATCCTCCCTCAGTGCTGACAGGTGCTTTGTATCTGAATTATGGCCACAAAGACATGGGTGAGAATCTTGGGTTTAGCAGAGCTCAAGTAGAAGTTTCTAGTGGCATCTTTAATATCCTTCGGTACCCGGCCAAGCCAGCCAGTGTGACCAATGAAGCTGGGTAAGCCATCCACCAGTACAGCCCTAAGTAATGTGGACAAGCTGGCTCCAGGTCCCTCCAGGGAGCCTTGGGCTTTAAATAGCACCTCGTAAATCACAGACAGACTCATCTCATCGTCCTTATCTTGGCCAAGGCTGGGTCCCTGGAGACCAGTGCGGAGCTACCCCGCCCTGCTGCGGGACAGCACTCTTTACACAGCTGCAAGAGCTCTTAGAAATGAGGGCTTTGTAACAAATCAGCCTTCGGCTTCACTGAGCCCTTATTCTTCGACAGCTCAGGGGAGACTGTCACCAGTGTGACCAGCTTGGCCCCACTTCAGCCCAAGAAGGGCAAGAAGCGGAAGGAGAAGGTGGACGTGCCCCCTGCAGTCCCTGCCAAAGGTGAGGGTGGGTAAGGCCGGCATGGGATGGGGCGGGAGGGAGGGTGACCATAGATGGATTGTGGACTGGACACTCCCACCCAGCTTCTGCTCACAACTGGTACTCCACAAGGTGGTGCTCTACCAAGTGGGGATGGGGAGCCCAGCATAGGTTGGGGAAGGTTCAATATTCACAGAGAAATCCACATTACATTTCCCCATGAACTTTAAAATGCTACACATGGTGGGGAGGGGCTGGGGGCTATCTCCACCCCTTCAGTCTACTTCCAGGGAAAGAAGGCTTTTTAAAGATGCCACCCTAATATGCAATATCTTTTGGGTTTGTTCTGGGGATACAGTGCGGGTTATTCTGTGATTACAGTCTTGATTTAGAGCCACACGAGTGAGGTGTTTCCCAAATCTTAGGAGAACCGAGGCTGTCTTCAGATAGTTGCTAAGATGACTGGGCAGTTTAGCTGCCCATACCTCAAGAGATTTGAAATAAAGTTGAGAGGACAAGGACTTCCCAGATGTGCAATATAAGATGCATAAGGCAAGATGTATCTTTCTCCACAACTGGTGCTTAGCAAGATGAGTCCAGGGGCACCTTGAGGTGCAGTCTTCGTCCCTGGGTAGATAATACCCTGCCTCATGAAAGAGAAAATGAGAGCTAGAGAGCTAGATCACAGAGCTGGGCTTTCAATACCAAGGTCAAGTCTCAAATTGTTCCTGGGGCAGGGGACAGGGAAGATCTCCCTAGTGACTTCATGGTGACCTGTGTGAGGATCTGTCATAGCTCTCCAGGTAAGTGAGCCAGCAGGACAGAGTCCCCCAGAAAAGGGTCCAGCCCCAGCCCTCACCAAGTGCACCATGACAGATGCAGAGCTGTTTTGTTGACCCAGACCAGGGAGACCCTGATGTGTCCAAAGACTAGGGAGGTCCCCTACCCCATAAGGAGCAGCCCATGGGACCTAGTTCAGAAGCCGGGGCTCCTCTGTGCAGGAGTCCTGCAGGGGTCCATAGCCCAAGTGGAGAATGTGTGTGATGCTCACAGCAACTGGGCCACTGGGATCCAGGAAGAGGAGCGACCTAAACCCCTCATCTCTTTTTGCAGCCCCCATAGCCACCTCGTTCCACAGGCCAAAGCTGCTGAAGCCACAGAGGAAAGTCGCCCTGGTAAGTTACTGTGTGCTGGGCCATCCTTGTCCCTCATGCCTGGAGCATGCCTCAGGGCCAAATAGGTTGACTCAAAACGTACTGAAAGTTCTTGGTACTCTTGTACCCAAACTCAGGTGTTCTCTCCTAGCTCAGGGTTTTTGAGTTCCCCACTTAGTTCCTGGAGTGACTTTTTCAAAAATCCAAAAATGGGACTCTAAATGCTACTTTTCAAAGTCAAGGGAGAAAAAGCCATACTAAGAAAAGTAGAAATTAGAAAATGGACCAGCTTGTATCAATTCCCCTGTTAATTCCCTCTGAAGGGACTTGAGATTTGCAGAAGAGTTATAAGATAGCACAGTGTTCCACATGTCCTCCCACCTTCTCTGTATGTTGACATCTTACATAGCTGTGGTGTCTCTGCCCAACCAGGACATTGACACCGATGCCTTGCTGTTAACTACTCCAGGCTTCAATCCCGTCCCGGCAATTTTTCCATGGATGTTCTTTTTCCTTCCCTGGATCCAATCAAGGATATCACATCACCTTTAGATGTTACACTCCCTGCTTTCCTCCAAACAGGGACAGCTCCTCTTTCTCTCTTTTTCTTTCTTTCTTTCTTTCTTTCTTTCTTTCTTTCTTTCTTTCTTTCTTTCTTTCTTTCTTTCTTTCTTCCTTCCCTTCTCTCCCTCTCTCTCTCTTCCTCTCTGTCCCTCCCTCCATCCTTCCCTCCCCCCTTCCTTTCTTTCTTCCTGGCAGTGACAACTTTTGAAGAGAATGAACCAGTTATTTGTTAGCATGTCCCTTAATTTGGATTTGCTGATGCTTAGAAATGAGGGCGTGGATCTGGGGGAAGAACAGCACTAAGGCAGAGGTGAAGTTTCCTTGCCACTGCATGGTACAGGCCTCATCATATTCGTACAGTGGCTCCCAACACACAGGATGCCTTCTGAGGCCCTCAGTGGACACCTGAAGTCACAGGTAGTGCTGAACCCTGTGCAGGCTTCGTTCCCCTATATGTATGTACATACCTACCTACAATAGAGCTGATTCTATAAAGAGGTTAATGCCAACAGTGATAGAATAGAATAGTAACAGCAGTGTAATAAAATTATTCTGTACTATATTAACACGTTAGTTGTACACATCACTGGGACCCACTGTGATATTTCCATACCTGCACACATCATGCACTGATTCCATCCATTCACTCTTCTTCTGCCCTCGCCTCCTCCTTCCTGACCCTTAGTAACTGCTTTTCTACTTTCAGGTCATCTTCTGTCCCTTAGTTTCTCAGATGAAAGAAAACTTACAATACTTGCCTTTCTATGTCTGGCTTGCTTTGCTTAACATGATGTCTTCAGGTTTCATTTGTTTCCTTGCAAATGACAGGACCTCATTCCCTGCATGGCTGGATAATATACCCACATCAAGTACATGTGCCACACTTGCTTTATCTCCACCTCATGGCTGATACCTAGGCTGATCCTGTTTCTTCCCTATTGTTTACAATGCCACTATATGAGGTATGACCAAAAAATACACAAGAAGTTTACATTTTCAAAGATGTATAATAGTAAAGGATGCAGGCCATGAATCCCCCTCAAAACACTCCCCCTCACTTCAAGTACACTTATCCCATTATTCTTGCCATTTCCTGGAGCATTTCTGGAAGTCCTCTTTCCTGAGTGTCTTTAGTTGTGCTGCCCTGATGTCCTGAACTGATGGGAAATGTTTCGCTTTCATGATCACCTTGACTTTGGGGAAGAGCCAGAAGTCTATGGTGCCATCCAAGAGTAACCTGGGTGAGGACGCACTGTCATGTTTATACTTGACAGAAATTGCTGTTAATTTTTGATCAATAAGAAGTGATCAAAAATACAGTAACTTATATGTTAAAAAATATTACAATAGAAATTGCTATTAATTCCCCTCAAAATGTTCAAGATGTTCCCCCTTGCTTTGAGCACACTTACCCCTTTGCTCTTGGCAATATGTCTCTTACAGTAATAAGTTTTGTATTATTTAAACATTCACTGTGTCTTCCAGTCATCCCTTGTGAATGTGGGCTTGCAGGTTTTTCTATAAGAGTGGTTTAAAACTCAGCTGTTTAATTCTTGTGGATTATTTACTTCTCAAATTTCCCTGTCACTGTCTTTAGGCTGAAGTTGACTACAGATAACTGAAACTTTGGAACATGAAATGAAGGCTAAGAGGGACCTGCTGTGTGTCTTGTTAGTGTGGTGTCCCTCTCAGCCTACAGTTAAGGTCCAGGCCACCAAGCTCCTTTCCTGTAAAATTTCTGCTTTTCCCTTGCTGTGCTCTATGTGCTGGAAGCCAGTCCTTAAGTCCATTTCTTTGTAAGGTGAATCATGCTTCCCCTCCAACGGACAAAGATCAAGAATTGTGATGTGCTGATGCCACCACAGTATTTAATGATTATTTTAGGGGGGCTATGTTAAGGCTGTGAAAGTATTCTACTTGTCCTTGAAATTTTCCTGCTGCTTTTGCAAGTATCAGTGCCTTTGGCCCATGAAGGTGGTGACTTCCTGCTTCTCCCAGTCCTTCTGAGGTCACCACTTGGAATTCTTCCCCAAGAAAAAGCTGTCCCTTCCCTTTTCTTACATATTCCCTAACCCCTTGATACCATTGATTTGATGCTTCTACTTTTTAGTCATATTGTGGTTGTGTTGCCAGTGTTGTTCAGCAGTTGTATGTGTGGGCATGAGAGAGATTGTCTGCAAGGTACTAAAATGTGCACATGCTGCAAAAGGTAGGCTCTTGAGATTCTGTTGGTTAGTGCCTTCTTCATGCCCTTGTATTTAGTTATCAAAATAAGATTTCTCCCTCCCCCTCCAGTGTTGCATATGAGGATACAAAAACTTGGTCTAGAAAAGTGATGGAGTCCTACATCTTCCTAGCAGAGAGAATGTCATCAATCTTGAATAAAGCAACTTCCTCCAGTCTATAGCCCAGGGGGCCCCAGTTCTCCTTTACCCATTAAACATAAACAAAAATCACTCATGCAATTCTTGGTTACAAAATGCTGTCTGAAGCAGTTTTTGCTGCCACTTATCAAAAGATTGGATTCAAGAGCTTTTTCAAAAACAACTGCTCCCAATCACAAGATTTCATTATTGACATTTCTCAGCGTGTGCGTGTGCGTGTGTGTGTGTGTGTGTGTGTGTGTGTGGTGGCTTGCTTTTCTGGATGGGGGCTCGGCACAGGAAATTCTTCATTTTCACAGAAAATAGATAGGGAAACTTATATACATCTCAAAAGGATTGGAACAACTCCCAATTACAGTTCTTCAAATACCAAATTATCCTTTGATCACTGAAGATAGGAAGGCCTTGAAAATATTTTATACCTAATTTTGCAGGAACAAGTGTATTTGGCTAACAATGTACACCAGTAACGACTCACAATGGAGAAAAGAGCTGACCTCCACTGGGCCTCTGAATAGCAGTTTAGAATCAAAAGAACCAGGCCTAGCGTCTGCACATTTGGTGACTATTAAGATGTATTTTCCCTGGGGCAGCGCTGACCTCACTCTCAATGTGGTCGATATTTATCTCTGGGTCAATAAGTCTTGATGGAGGCTGAACCTGGAGGCAGAGCCACTTGTTGACTTACAGAGCCTTTGCTGGTAATTCAGGAAGCAATGCTGAGATATTTTGGGGCACAGGGAAATGGCTGGTACCAATTAGGTGTTGAATCCCATCATTGTTGGGTTTTGCCATCTCCGTCTCTTATCAAACAGTGCTTCCTGGCTTCCTGTCTTTCTTCTTAGAAGCCAACCACCCACCTCAAAGACATGGCGGAGGGGGTGGGTAGCAGGGCTGTTGTAGACAACGTCCTTTTATTGCACATCTGCTGGGCACCAGCTTCTCTTCTAGGTGATTTATGGTTCTATCTCACTCATCTGAACTACAGGGCCAACACTGTGACAGGCATGACTTTGTGTCTTCAAACCCTCCACTCCCAGGATGACCAAGATGGAATATTTTCTCGTGCTTCCAGAACAATGGGGCAGTTTGCAGGAAGTGTAGATGTCAGAGAGTAACAGTGGTTGGAAAGCTTTAGAAAGATGACAGCACATCAGAAGCAAAAAGAAAGGAGAAAGGCATTTTAGGCATTTTATAATCAAGGTACCAAAATGACCCTTCTCCCTCCTCCACTTTGTTGATGAAAAAGTCACATGCAGCAGCAACATGCATTCAAATGCTGCTAATCAGGCACAAGGCCCCTGGACAGCAGTTCCTTCTTGAATGTCCAACAGTGCAGCTGTTTCATCTAAGAAGTCAGTGTGGACAGTGATCCCGCAACTTCTGGGCAGGGAGGGAGCACTGTCACAAAACACAAACTGTGGGTGCGTGCGGCTCAGTGGCAGAGGAGCTGCCAGGCCCGTGTAAGGCCTCGGGTTCTCCCCAGCACTGAACACCAAACCGAAGCCCTCCCAGCACCAGATTTGCAGCGTGGTGTTCCTCTGAGCGGGGCGCTGGCTCATAGACCCCCAAAACCTGCCAGGGCCCTAAAAAACCTCCTAGTTAAGCCCCCTACCACTTGGTTCAGGAGCCAGGGATGGAATTTATTCACTTCCAGGAAAAACTGTGTGTGCTTCCTTGTTTCCAAAGAAACAGAAAGCAAGAAGCACATTTGATTTTGATTGCATTAGGCCAGTTATTGATGTAGAGGCTGAGTAAAAACAGAAAAATACACATGGTATCTGTGATATGGAAGCAAAACTTCACAGACACCATGTGAAAGAGGGATGAAAAAATGCAACAGGAAACCAGAGTTGGAGAGAAGTGTGCTTAGAAGTACAAGAGAGGCAAGCGCTGTTCTGGGTGAGATGAACCTCATATTCTGCCCCCACCCCACACATCTTCTTAACAGGGCACTCTGGGGCCCTCCTTGGGTGGAATGAAGTTTCTCATATATGCCATTAGGTGAGATGGAAAAGTCACCTGCACCTCCATCCTGTCCTCTAAGGAGAATAAAATCTCAGCTCTCTGGGA